TACTGTGACAATGGACTACTTTTACTTATAAATATGGCAAGTAGCCACATTAGAGTAGGTTTTGAGAAGTAGCTGATTTACTTAAGTTTTTCCATTCCATGTATGAGTATTTAATAAACCTCTTCTTTGTTTTCCCTACTTAGTCTTCTGATCCTTCAATATTCACTGTGGCATACCCAATTCTTAGCTATTTTGAACAAAGAAACATTACAAAAATGTACGTAATGAATATTTTTGTAGCACTTAATTAATCTAATATAGTTTTATAGTCTACTGACTTATACCTAAGTACTAAAGAATACAACTGGAAAAGTCCTTTTATGCATGTGTTATTCTTTAGTCATCATCTCTGCACACTGGTTACTTGTTTGGCCTTTGGGCATAGGCAATTCTATTTCAAATAAGTGATCTATCAATTTGAATGTTTTTAGATTAAAATTTCTTGCCAATTAATCAATAAAAGCATCTAATTTTCATTAAAGATTATTTAACCAATCAAAATATTGCATTTTAAGCTATTTCAGCAATGATTAACCAAGATAAATACTGTAAATTGTATCTGGCAATATCTTTTGTTTTCTGTCTATTTAATTCTAGGAATGTTGGATAGGCTTAAAAACATTGATTTTTTTTTCAAATAAATACACTAATGTCAGTAAATTACTTTCTTAGCTTAGGGCATTGTGCTTATGTATTGTAATTTATTACTGCTTGTATATGACTTTGGCTTTTTAAAAAAATATTTCTTTATTAAAAGAAATAAGTAAATTGAACTCATGAGTGAAAACACATGGATTTTTTCTTAATCTAAAGATGTATCTGATTGATTGAAAATGAACAAGAAGAGAGAGAGAGAGAGAGAGAGAGGAAGATGAAAGGGAAGCTCAAAAGAGGAAATAGAAAGGTTCAATCTAATAGGGAGGAGGTACCAAAATAATAAAAAGGTCAGAATGAAAAGAGAGAGTGACAGACAAGAAAGTATAAGAGAGGAAATAATTAGAAGAAGAAGATGAGGAAGAAAATAATGAATAGAAGGGAAAAAGGAGACAAATAGAAGGAAAAAAGAAACAAATAGGAGAAAAGGAAGAAGTGAATAAATAGAAGTAAAAATAGGAGATGAAGAAAAGAAGAATAAATAGAAGATAGAGAAAACATAGAAGATGAGGAAGATGGAAATAAAGAGAAAGAAAAAGAAGAAGATAATAGCTGCGAGTATTTACACTATCTATCTGACCCTCTTCAAGTGATATACATTGGAATTTCAAACTAAACCCTTTTAGTCTACTGGGGTTCAAAATTCCAACATATATCATCTTAAGGAGGCTGAAGCGTACAATGGCCAAAATGTTGTGGATATAACAATAACGATGAGGACAACAGTCTGAACAATGTAAATAGTGTAAATGGTTACAATGCCTTATCTCAGAAATATAAACAAAAATAACTAAGCTATAAGAAACAGAATGAAAAATGGTGTTCAAAAGCAAAGGAAAAAGAAACAGAGAGAGAAATAGGGAGAGAAAGATGGAAAAAATGATGATGACTAAGATAAGGGAAGTAAAAGATAATATGAATGAAAATGAAGAAAAGAATGAAAAAAATTAGAATAAGCTAAGATCAAAAAAAGAAAAATGTTAATGCTGGTCTTGAGCCTGATATCAAGGAGGTGATTTGGGGTTAAAATCACTACTTTGGGAATAATTCTTTCAATACAGAAACACTAATAAAAAATCAACAAGACAATTCAGTCTTTGATTTAGGACTACATATATTTTCTATACTAAAGTTCTAACACAATGATTGAGAAGCACTCAAGGTAGAAAGATACTGTTAAAATGGTTACAATGAATGAGATGGGCAATATGAATGAAAGAGAAGCTGATAGGAAGGGAAGATTATGAAGATAAGGCAGACTAACTCCTTGCTTAGAAAGATTCTACAGGTATGACACCTGAACATCACCAGTACTAATGAGCTTTAATAAGGTACAACATTTTGAAATCTTCAAGAGATGGCTCTTTTGCATCACCTGAAATTAAAAAGGTTTTATTTGTAATTTTCATTATTTTTTCAGTCATGGTTCATGACATGTTCACTCTGCCACACCCTACATGCCCACTTAAGTTTTGTATGAAATTCTTCAATTAATCATTATTAGCCAAACCTTGAAGATATTTATCTCAAAACAACAAAACCTTCAGATAAAACCTTTCTAATTTCAGGTGACAATTGGACGTAACCTCTGAATGCCAGCTGCTACTAACACAAGATAAAACCTAACATGGTACCTCTAATGTAAAAGAAAGAAATGACTAATAAAATAATAATAGGACTTTGAAACTGGTATTCTAACTTATGTCTAAGTAGTGCAACTATTCCACCAACTCTCCTCTCCTAATCAACAGCCAACTTGAAGTAATATCTTCTGCCTCAGTGACCAATATAATGGCCATTTGCCTACTGGCTACTCTGATGCACAGCATGTTGCAGGCCCTACGTAGCCATGCCTGCAAACACATTGTATCCAACTTTAGTGAGATAATAGGTTGTCAACCAACTCAATGTACTAATAAGCTCCAGCCACCTCCACAGCCACCTTGCAATGTGGTCCTTTTAGGCTATGGTTTGGACCCAAAAGCAAAATAAGATCACAATAAAGAAGTGGTGAGGAGAGAAAGAAATTAAAAAGAAAAAGAAGAAATAAAAAATGAATAAAATAGATAAAAAGAAAGTGTGAAAAGAAACAAGAGTGAAGAATAAAAAGAAATAAAAAAGGGGACACAGAGAAGGACTGAAAAATGAATAGAGAAAAAGAGATGGAATAAAGGGAGGAACAGAAAAAGAGGGAAAAATATGGTGAAGAGGATGAAAGATACAAAGTGAGAGAGGAATAAAAGAAATGCAAAGTGAGAGGGGAGGAGAAATTTAAATTTAAACGTAAACAGTATAAAGATGGTAAAAAAATAGAGGCGTAGGAATATAAGGAAAGGGAAAATTGAAACAGTGTTACAAGGAAAATTGAGTGTTTAAGGGAAAAGTGTGTGATAAAGAGAAAGGAAATTTACTGTGAAAGCAAAAAGAGAGGTTATAAAAGAAAAAGAGATCAGTAAAAGAAAATGGAAAGTGAGCCTTTAAGGGAAATGGAAAAGTAATAAACAGAAAAGGGAATGGTAAAGCAAAAGGGAAAAGAATGAGTTAAAGTGAACAAGAAATATAATGGTAGAGAGAAAAAGAGAGAGAAAAAGAAAAAAAAAAAAACGGCCGAAGAGAAAAAAAAAAAAAGGCCGTGGAGAGAAAAGAAAAAAACGGAAAAAAGAAAAAAACGGCCGTGAAGAAAAAAAAAAAAAAACGGCCGTGAAGAGAAAAAAAAAAAAAAAACGGCCGTGAAGAGAAAAAAAAAAAAAAAAAAAAAGAAAAGAAAAAAAAAAAAAAAAAAAGAACGGCCGTGAAGAAAAGAAAAAAAAAAAAACGGCCGTGAAGAGAAAAAAAAAAAAAAAAAAAACGGCCGTGAAAAAAAAAAAAAAAAAAAAAAACCGAAGAGAAAAAAAAAAAAAAAAAAAAAGAAAAAAAAAAAGGCCGTGAAGAGAAAAAAAAAAACGGCAAAAAAAGAAAAAAACGGCCGTAAAAAGAAAAAAAAAACGGCCGGAAAAAAAAAAAAAAAACGGCCGTGAGAGAAAAAAAAAAAACGGCCGTGGAAAAAAAAAAAACGGCCGTGGAGAAAAAAAAAAAACGGCCGGAAAAAAAAAAAAAAGAAAAAAGCCGGCCGTGAGAGAAAAAAAAAAAACGGCCGGAAAGAAAAAAAAAACGGCCGTGGAGAGAAAAGAAAGAAAAAAAAGAGAAAAAAAAAAAAAAAAAAAAGAGAAAAAAAAAAAGAAAAAAGAACGGCCGTGAAGAAAAAAAAAAAAAGAACGGCCGTAAGAAAAAAAAAAAAAAAAAAAAAAAAAACGGCCGAAGAGAAAAAAAAAAAAAAAAAAAAAAAAAAAAAAAAACGGCCGTGAAGAAAAAAAAAAAAAAAAAAAACGGAAGAAGAGAAAAGAAAAAAAAAAAAACGGCCGGAAGAGAAAAGAAAAAAAAAAACGGCCGTGAAGAGAAAAGAAAAAAAAAAAAAAACGCCGAAGAGAAAAAAAAAACGGCCGTGAAGAGAAAAAAAAAAAAAAAAAAAAAGAGAAGAAAAAAAAAAAAAAAAAAGAAAAAAGAAAAAACGGTCGAAGAGAAAAAGAAGAAGAAAAAAACGGCCGAAAGAGAAAAGAAGAAAAAAAAACGGCCGAAGAAAAAAAAAAAAAAAAAAATCCGAAGAAAAAGAAAAAAAAAACGGCCGTGAAGAGAAAAGAAAAAAAAACGGCCGTGAAGAGAAAAAAAAGAAAAAAACGGCCGAAAAAAAAAGAAAAAAAAAAAAAGAAGACAAGAAAGAAAAAAAAAACCGTCGAAGAGAAAGAAAAAAAAAACGTCGAAGGGAAAGGAAAAAAAAAAAACGTCGTGAAGGGAAAAGGAAAGAAAAACCGTCGTGAAAGAAAGGAAAAAAAAAAACCGTCGTCGTGAAAGAAAAAAAAAAAAAAAAAACGGTCGTGAAGAGAAAAAAAAAAAATGAAGAGAAAAGAAGAAAAAAACGGCCGTGAAGAGAAAAGAAGAAAAAACGGCCGTGAAGAGAAAAGAAAAAAAACGGTCGTGAAGATTGAAGAAAAAAAAAAAACGGTCGTGAAGAGAAAAAAAAAAAAAAAACGGCCGTGAAGAGAAAAGAAAAAAAAAAAAAACGGCCGTGAAGAGAAAAGAAAAAATGGCGGTGAAGAGAAAAGAAGAAAAAAAACGGCCGTAAAGAGAAAAGAAAAAAATAGGCAAAGAGAAAAGAAATATAGACAGTTGTAATGAAATTGGATTTCTTTTGCATTTTATCAGTTCAGCAGTAGTCATTTAACTTGCATGCTGAGAGCTGCTCTACCCTTAATGCTTGAGATTTATATAGTCTATGCCATAGCTATGCTAATTAAGCAGTCATTTACATATCATTGCAACAGTGCTGAAATGAAAGGTGGGGGGGAGGAAAGAGAGTGGTAATGTGAAAGGCTAAAAAGAGAGTGGTAAAAAGAAAGGGGGAAAAAGAGAGTGATGAAGAATCCAGTTGAGAAAAGGAAAAAAGAGAGTGTTAAAGTGAATGGGGAAAATGGAGATTGGTAAAGGGAAATTAAAAGTGAATGGTAAAAATAAATAGAAGATAGAGTGGTAAATTGAAAGACAAGTATGAGTGGTAAAAGAACACGGCAAAATGAAAAAAAGAGAAAGAGTGGTAAAAAGGAAGAGAAAATGAGTGTTAAAGAGAAAGGTAAGAGTAAATTGAATGCAGTAAGAAGATGGGAAAGAGAGCAATAAAGAAAACTAGAAAGAGAGTGACAGAGAGAAAAGAAAAAGGTAAACAGTAAAGAGAATAATTTAGAGAGAGAGAGAGAGAGCAAGCAGTAAAGGAACACTGAGAGAAAGAGTGATATAAATAGAAAATGGGGTAATGAGAGAGAAAGAGACAGAGATTGGAGAAGAAGATAACAGAGAAAGTTATAAAAAAAGAAGAAAAGTAAAGGAAAAATATAGCGGTAAGATAGAAAATAGAAATGATTCTAAGGAGATCAATAAAGAGAAAGATAGTTAGAGAGAAGTCAAGCAGCCAAGAGAAAATAAGGAATGGGTAAGACGAGAAGAAAGGAAATAAAATAAAGAAAGAGATTGAGAATAAGACCAGTGTAATGAGAGAGAAAGAAAAAAGTGATGTAAGGAGGAAGTGTGTGTGAGAGAGAGAGAGAGAGAGAGACAGAGAAAAATAGAGATGTAAAGAGAAAGGTAAGTATGATCAAAAGAGAGGCAAAAATATATGTAAAATATAACATAAAAAAAAAAGAAAGTTGATTGTCAAATCAGATATTTTTGTTCATTGCTATTTTTAACCAGAACTGGTCCCAGTAAGACGGCAAAGCCAAGCGCCATATTCTTGGAGTTTGGGGATTATTTATTTTGTTTTGTTTATACTTTCATTTTCTTTGTCTTACCAATTCTTTATCTTTCTTCAACAGAGATTAACCTTACACGAACGTCTTACTGTTTCAAACCCAAATTATTGCTTTTGTTTTTCTATCTTTCTGTCCCAAAATTCTTCATTGGTTTGTATTGAGTTTGTATTATTTTTATGTTCAGCTATTAAAGCAAAACAAAAAAAATCTCTAAAAATGTTATGTGCAGTGTCGTCATTTAGATAAATGAAGAATTTTTTGAGAAACAAACGTTTATAAAGGTCATTTTCCTTTTTTTTTTCCTAAAGATATCAAATAACCTATAGATCTATTTCTATATGAACTTCCTTCTGTGTGTGTATTCACGCATACACATTTTTCAGGGGTGCTGAAAAGTTCTTATGTTGTGATTGCTAGCAACTGTTTAATAAACATATATAGTACGCAACATAGTGTAGTAATATTAGTAATTTATTTGTGTTTCTTTAGCAAAAAAGTTTCCCATTGTTGTAAGACTGCCTCTGTGTCTTTTCTATAAATACTTCCATGGTAATTGTTTGGATGAGTTCTTCACTATGGTACCTAGACTTTTTGAATTTAAGCACTGTCCAAGACTGGCATTGAGTTCTCATCAATTTACATAAGAGCTGGATAGATGTAACCTTAAGTTTTATGTTTGTTGTTTCTTTTCTCATACTTCTCACTTATGGAACACCCTTCTGGCTCCATGCTTTCCAGCCAACTTTATTCTGGTAAAATTTAAATGCAATGTCAATCACTATCTATTTTCCTCCTGATTACTCTTTTTCTCTTTCTGCTCCTTATTAATGTTTCTGTTCCTAATTCTTCTACACCCAGTAACTCCTTGTGTCTTCCTGGCTTTACTGACTTTCATGATGTGAAACGAATTATAAAAAAGAGAGAAAAGGGAGTATAAGAATAAATACACTTGTGTATAATTAGCATAAACATAATTTATTGCCTTCTCTCATATGCCATGTTCCTTCAAGACTTTAGTGATAATGGCTCTCTGGAAATTTCTAAGCAACGTTTGTTTCTATACTAATCACTCTAGTTAATGTTCTGCCTCCTGTTTACACAGATATCTTCGGTAGAGTACACACTGTTTCCCTTTGCTCCTCTTGTCCTGTGAATTTCAAATTCTCTAAGCTTTCATTTTCATTGTGTCCCAGAAACTTCAACTGCCTCTTTTTTTTATTCTAAATATAATTATCTGTTTCATTTCATTTCTTTTAAACTTCCTTGTTTCACAAATGTTCTGTCCATGATATTCTCAGCATCTTTTGTTGGAACCACATCCACTTCCTCTCTATCTATAAAGAAAAGGTTCAGTATTACAAGTTCAGCGAATACAAAAAAATTGAAAGGGGCATAAGACAAGGATGTGTCTTCTCACCAGACCTGTCTAACCTATACAATGAGGTAATTCTGAGAGAATTAGAAATCCTAATGAAATTCGACATTGGCAGCCACAATCTTAACAACATAAGATATGCAGATGACACAGTACTGATAGCAGACATGGAAAAGAAATCACCAAACCTTCTACAGAAGGTAGGGAAGAAGAGCGAAATAAAGGGACTAAGCATAAACTAAAAGAACACAGAATACATAGTCATTAGTAAAAAGGTGAGCCTGAAATGCAATTTGCAGGTTGGTAACACTAAAATCAAGCATGTGCAGAAATTTAAATATCTGGGAAGTTTTTTTGACAGAGGACGGTAAGTGTGACACAAATCTGTAGATGTAATGGGATGGCTAAGGGTGCATTCCAAAAGCTGGGCAGAGAATTGCAAGACAGGAGGATCTCTTTAGTAACAAAGAAAAGACTACTGGGCTGTTATGTGATATCTGTCCTCCTTTATGGCAACGAATGTTGGACAGTCTCCTCAAAGATGAAAAAGAGACTTGAGGTGACAGAAATGTGATTCTACAGAAGGATGCTGAGGATATCATGGACTGAGTATGTGAGCAATGATGAGGTCTTAGAGAGGATGCAAACAAGGAGGAGGCTTATACTTAACATCAGAAAGAGGCAGCTGAAGTTTCTGGGACATGTAATGAGAAAGGAATGCCTGGAGAATCTAATACTCAGAGGTTGAATAGAGGGAAAGAGAGACAAGGAAAAGCAACACATGACATACCTGATGGGCTTAAGCAAGTGGATGACAGA